CTCTCTCCCATTGATAATTTACTTTATTTTCAAATATGTAAAAATTTAATTTAATTTTTTTATCTCTCTATCTTCCCTATTTTCTATTTCTCTTTCTCTCACTCTCTCTCCCCCCTATTTTCTCTCACTGTTATTCTTTCTCTTCTTATTTTTTTTTCTCTCTCCATATATCAACGTTACAACAATATAATTACATCAATTAGTTACAACTACCCTATAATATGTAATTACACCAATTAGTTACAACTACCCTATAATATGTCAAACAGTTGCTTATGTATCATAATAAATATATAGTTATACTAAACAATTATACGAAATTACAACACCAATCCAATTTGTTATTTCTTGTTTATGTAAACAACTAAATAATAAATTGGGTTGATGTCATAATCTTGTGTAATTGTTTGTTATAACTGTTTGATATATTATAAGACAATTGTAACTGATTGGTGTAACTGATTAATGTAATTATGTTGTTGTAACGTTAATATAAAGAGAAAGAATAAGGAGAGAGAGTAACGATGAGAGAAAATAAGAGGAAAGAAAGGGAGAGATAGTGAGATAAAAAAATCAAATCAAATCTTTACATATTTGAAAAAAAATAAATTATCAATGACAGAGAGAGAAAAAATAGGGAAGAGATAGAGAGAATAATGGAGAGAGGGAGATAAAGAGAAAATAGGGGAGGGAAAATGATAGAGTAATCAAGGGAGGGAGAGAGAATGAGAGAGTAATTGAGGGGGAGAAAGAAAGAGTAACATTTTAATAAATAGGAAGAGAGAGAATGAAAGAATAAAGATTGTGTATAATTTAAGGAAGGATAAGCAAGTAAAAAAAATTTAAATGTCATTTGAATTTTGTACCTAATCACAACATATTTTATTAAAATCAAACTTAATAAAGTAAAATATTTATGTATATATTTTCTTTCAAATAAGTCTAAAAAACTGTACTCACCGCCAAAAAAACCCATTGTTCGAACCGGCCAACCGATCACTTTTTATGCAATCGGGTGTGGTTCACACGAAGCCTAGTAAATCCACTTCTGTCTTGAAATCCAAATATAAATGTTATTACTAATTGTTAGCTAGTCCACGACCATTGCTTATTCACTCATCTACGGGAATTCTTACCCCACTTTTAAGTCGAAGCCACCAATGACTTTTTTAAGACATGCTCCTCTTTATAAAGACATTTAGAGCATCTCCAGTCACGCTCAATAAAATAGTTACTCAAAATATATTTAAATATTGTATTCACTACTTTAGCTATCCACTTTTTGAAATTCAATTCAACCACGCTCTCTATTTTAATTAATTACTTCAACTAACTTTCAACTATCCACCACCATCAACCACTAACGTCCATCAACAACCTCCAGTGATCACCAACAACCTCCGGCAACCACCTCTACCTTCTCCTGAAATCCCTAATTCCCCAAACCCCACAACCATTCGAGATCACCACCACCACCATCCGAAAACCATATCAACAGAACCCACCATCACTACTCCCTATCCCCCTAATCCATTGAGAACCTGACGAGGGCCAGAAGAACACACCATCGGAGCATGCCATCACCACTATCCTCCTCCATCGAATCACCACTGCCATTGAAGCTACTAGAGTACCACCACCAGTAAACCCATCCCTGTTGCTCTGAAAACCCCAAATCCAATGATAGAGCAAACGCAGACCAAAAATTCTAAAAATTAGAACACCCAGATTCTAAACAACAATATTGCAAATAAGATTTGACTTCCTACATAAGCCTACTGTATCCACAAGCGTATCTTCCCTTGAAGCAAGACATGATTGGATCGAGAGAAAAGAGAAATTAGAGACGAAAAAGTTCACAGAGAGAGAGAAAGAGATAGAGAGAGATCCATACCGGGTCATAGTGAAGATGAAACCATAGTGAAGACAGCTCTGATTACGATGAGCTCTAATTAACAACTCAAAATTGGCGCAAAACTCTGATGAAGAACAACCCAAAATTGGGGGAGAGAGCTCTAATGAGAAAGAATCTTGCAAGCCACATCTGATTGGGGGTAGGCAGATTAGCCAGCGAAGTAGAGAGTTGGTTGGAGAGGAATTTTTTTGATTGACTCAGCAAAATAGCTAAAAAAATGGCATTTGTTGAGAGTGTTGGAGTTGCTCTTAGTCATCCTCTTTTCTTGTTGTTTCTGATGTGTGATGATATGTAGTATAAATTTCTTTAGTTCTCCTTCTATTTTTTTAACATATTTTAGTATACCTTGAACTACTTTCCTATTCTTCTAATTTTTATTTTGTTTTTTTGGGTCATCACATTATTACTTTTTATACCAATTATTTAATGCTTATTAGTGATTTTTTTTATTTTTTATCAAATTATATCAAACATATGAGTAAACAAATTAATGAATTAAAGATATGTTTTATCTTTTTATTTCATCTACTACAATATAAAACATGTTATTTTTGTAACAAATGCATAATCTTTTAGCGTATTTACTATTATTATTAATTATAAGAATGGTTGAAGCAGTGATTCATTAACTCGGTTCTTTTGTCCGGTTGGTGGGTGGGCGAGGTTTAAAATCTATGAACTACACCTATTCCATTTATTATCCACCTTTTGTACAAGTAACCATTTTTTTTTACTTTGTGAAAAAAAAGGGTGAGAGCGCTCTGAGATCATCCCGATAAGATTTTATTGGTGGGATCATAAGGCCTTTAACTACACTTGTTACTTTGCCTCTTGAACCTCCTCCAACTTTAAGGTGAGAAGTTAAGACAATACTCCACTAGACCACCCACTTGATAGACTACTCCTTCGTCTTCTTTCAATATTTATGACTTTTTCTCTTTTTCTCTCAATTGTATACGTATAGTAAAATTTCTAGATCTGAATCCATCCTTTTTGTCTCTCTTTTCTTTTCTCCATCTACTTTCTACCCCCTTTGTAATAGTCTCCTCCACTCTCTGTCGTTGTTAGTCTAGGTGTCTCTATTTGAAACATGAGACTACTTTCCTCATTTTAATTTCATTATCGACTTTCTCTCACCAATTAGGGTGTGTAGCACGTTGAGATTTTCATTATGAGTAATTTTATATCTCTTGGTCTGATTATACCTTTTTAGAACTCAAAACTCTTTATTCAAACTCATATGTTAACTCATCATAACTAATATTTTGTGGAGTTGTGATCTCCTTTCCCTTAAAATCAGAACAAAATTATATTGCATCTCAACTCTTATATATATATCAATCACGAGTTTAGACTAATCTATTGGAACTAATTTTGAGAATGGTGGTCCATTAAGGAGGCATGGAGGAGGGCACGTAGGGCTGAGCACCAACGAGTGTTCACATCCATGTAGCAAATTTAACAATGGAAAAATCAGACTTATTCCCCAATTACTGGCTGCCACTTTGCATGCCCCCATCAATTTAGGATCTCATGGTTGGCGACTTTGTTCTTGACTTCTCCAAAATCAAAATCATTATAAAATTCCACTCTTTACTCTTCTTCTCTAGGCCCCACTTCCCTAAACTATTCCTCTAGGCATCTAACATGCGGCTGTGTGTAGAATGATAATCAAAATAAACTATTCGGACTCGATTTAGATAACATTCGATTCGAATTTGACTCATATTTTAAAAGAATTGAATTTGAACAATTTTATAGGTTTGTTTATAAAATGAACTTGACAAACTCGAGTGCAAGCTCACAAAATTTCTGTTCGATTAACTACTTTAATTGTGTGTTATTTATGAAAAAAAATAGAGTAAATTTAACACAACATTAGACAGTATGGTAAGTACCACCGGAGTTGGTGGTCTAGTTGTAAGACCTGTCCGTTTTTAGGGTCATACCTAACTCTTATGTGATTAAAAAACACGGTTTAATTTATGGAGTCCCCATATCTTGTTACTTAAATTTCGATTGTGGTACGGCGACAGACAACTCTAAAAGAATCTATAGATATAATTGACCGAACATTTCGTATCGGGAAGGCCCCCGTAGTCATGGTCACGCCTAGGAGATTGATAAAAAAAAAAAGGACAGTACGGTGAATTGGTGACGCTCCTAATAAAAGATTGTGACACAAATTAACCTGTGGGCCATCTAGATAGATTTTTTTCAAAAAAAAAATTGATAAAGTGATAAATGACCATGAAACACTTTCGTGTGGTGTGTGTTTAACCGACACAAAAATATCTTGCCTTTGACAGTTGGCGTACTTGTGTGTTATTTACCAAAAAATTTAGAGCAAGTTTAACATTACATTAGACAGTATGATGAGCGGTGGTCTAGTGATAAGACATGTACGTCTTAGTATCTTTCCTAACTGTTATGTGATTAAAAAGCCAAGTTTGATTTATGGGGTCTTCATGCCTTGCTATTTAGGTTTTGGTGGTAGCATGATGTCAGATTATTCCAAATGAGTCTATAGATATAACTGATCATTCCATACAGAGAAGGTCTTCATGGTTACATTCAGGAGATCACTACATACGATCACCTTTCTCCCACATTTTTTTGATAAAAATAGAAAGAAGGCGGTATGGTGAGTTCGTGACTCACCCAATAAAAGATTGTCACACAAATTAAATTGTGGGCCATATAAATTGATTTTATCAAAAAACTTTTTTTGATAAAGGACAATAATTGATTGGACATGTATATATTTTTATTTGTCATCAAAACCACATGACACTGTCGCGTGATCTGTTAAACCCACACAAAAATATCTCGTCTTTGACAGTTGGCAGAGGACAATCTCTCTTCAATATAAACTTCTCCATAGCTCTTGGCTCATCACACACACACACACACAGTTTTGCGTGAAAAAGGGTTTACATTCTACGTTGTAAGTCCTATGATTCCATAGATAAATCCTACGTTGGGAGTTTGTATTTTGGGTTCTTCCAAATCCTAACTGGAGGTGGAGGGAGACACCCATTTATTCTAAATATCACCAATTCTGTGTGTGTGTATGAGAGAGAGAGAGAGAGAGAGAGAGAGATGAATGGTCATATGGACGTGGTGTTGTTGAGCTGGGTAGTTTTGATGGTGGGTGTTATCAGTATTGCAGATGGTGCAGTTTCTCCACATCTGTTGGACAGGATAAGTAAAATAAACAAGGAGGGCCCATACTTGGGCATTGTAGTGCCTAACAGTTTTGAAATGAACCCTCTTCTCCAATCTCAAAGTTTTGTTGCTGATCAAAACCATCCCTACTTGGATTTTGCAGGTAATAATTAGCCAATCAACTTTAGTTGTTTATAGCTAATGTAATTGGATCGGGAGGGAGGGATTTATCTACGTGAATATCTTAATTTTAACGTAGATAATATATTTTTGACTAGATTAAAGAGGAGTATAATCGAAATGTTCATAAGTTAGTCATAACATTATGAAGTTAAGGGATTTGGGCAATTTAAGTTCTACTGAAACAGTATTCATCGAATGATCATTTTGTTGAACGTCTTTTATCGAATCTCATACTATGTAATGTATTTATATACTGCTAAAATTAACACTGAAATGACTAGCAATTTTTTGGTACCTTTATAATTTTTCTTTCTTTTTCTCATTTTTCGATTTATACAGGACGAAGGTTTCGGTTCGGAGAGATTGAAAATAAAAGAGTTATTGTTGTTATGACAGGGTTGGCCATGGTATGTTCAACAATATGTTGTATTCCTTCTTTCATATTGTTTGTTGGGTAAAATATATTAATAATCTCTTAAGTTTGATCGAAAACGACAGTTTAAATTGACTAACAGATATCTTCATGTGACCACACTTGATGGAGTCACTTTGATCCCTCAAATTTTCACTTGTATTATGTGATCCTTCAACTTTACCATTTATGTCACTTTAGTCTTTAAATATTTTTAAAAATGCACCTCAAGTGTGATCACACGCGACCATCTCCGTTAATAGATTCTAACTTTCATTTTCAATTCCAAATGAACAGAATTAAAAGATTGAGAACCAAATTGACGCAAAGTATGTAATTTGAGGATCAATTTTTGCCCTTGTTTGTTTTAATTTGGTACGCCCATTTGAACTGACTTAATGGATAACAAGCTGAAGGCCCATTAGAGTTGATCCAATGTCAGCCTATGGGCTACGAGTTTTTCTGGACGAGCCATGCCGACCGGTTGGCGATCCCTGTATGGCATTTATTTTGAGTGTTTCCACTAAAAATCTGTTGTGTGTAGCTTAATGCAGGCATAACCACACAATTACTGTTGACTCTATTCAATGTGAAAGGAGTTCTGCACTTTGGAGTTGCTGGTAATGGAAATCCTGAACTCGAAATCGGAGACGTGACCATCCCTCAGTACTGGGCTCATACGGGCCTATGGAATTGGCAGGTATTTTGTTTATAACTATTAATAGTCTTGAAGCACATCAATTCCAAAATTTATGATCTCTCTCTCCCTCTCTGAACCAGAGGTATGGAGATGGGCCTAATGATGAACTGGCTCTAGAATCCAATGGAGACTACACAAGAGAGGTTGGCTACCTTAAATTTTTCAAATTCAACAATGACACAGAAACTGGCGAGTCCTCGGATAACCTCCTCAACAATGTTTGGTACCAACCAGAAGAAATATTTCCCATTGATGGATATCCTGAAATGAGGCAGCATGCCTTTTGGGTTCCAGTCAACAACCACTACTTTTCAGTTGCCCAGAAACTCGTGGTAATTTAGCCCTTCCCCTAGTTTTAAAATTCATTTTTCCTTACTGATTATTAGGCTTGTCCATGGTCGTGAGTTCAAATCTCGTCATCTCTCTCCTTGTGATAGTGTTGGACTCAAAAAAAATCATTTTGGGAATTGGTTTTACTACAGGGTATGATGTTGAATGGATGTGTGAATTCTACATGTTTGCCAAGAACACCAATTGTGACAAGGGTAAAGAGTGGCGTTAGTGCAAATGTGTTTGTTGACAATGGAGCTTACAGAGAGTTCTTGTATTCCAAATTCAATGCAACTCCAATTGACATGGAAAGTGCAGCAGTGGCTCTGGTTTGTTTGCAGCAGAAGAAACCTTTCATTGCCATTAGAGCACTCTCTGATTTAGCTGGTGGAGGTTCTTCAGTGTCTAATGAGGCTGATATTTTTGCAACATTGGCCGCTCAAAATGCTGTTGATGTTGCTATTGGTTTCATTTCCTTACTGTTCCAATGAATTCCAACCATCCTGTATGCTATTATATTATATTCGCTTCGAAATAAGGCGTCAATTGGTTGTATGTGGTGGTGGCGACAGGGAGGTTGGGGGTACACAGGCCATTTGATGTTTATTCTACTTGTTAGAGTATTTTAATAAAAGAGTACTTTTATACGGAAACTCAATTTCACGTTAATTAAATTTGTAAAAGTACTTGAATATATATACATATATATCTAGCCATTGAATTTATTAAGACTTTGAGACTCTCACATGCCCAAGAGTGAGAGCTTTTATTTCATTCGATTGTGGAGATCTAGTTGACACATTATAGAAAGGTGTCAAACGAAGCAAATTGTGTTATTTGAGTTAAGTAACAATCAATAAGATTGAGTTGTTGTATTTTGAAGACAACACGCTGTTATTTTTTACATTTTACATTGAGTGTTTTCTATAAAGGGGTTTTCGCGCTTCTTTCTTTCGTTTATTTCATCTTTCGAATTCATATTTTTACAATACTTTATTATTTTCACTATCAACGCCCACAAATAAAGGACTGACAAAATTTTTGGCTCCATCACGGAAAATTATGCCAAATGCTTACTCCAAGAAACACCAATACATTTCATCCTCACTTGTTTCAGAGTTGCCCAAAACCAAAAGTCATAAACAAAAACCTAAAATTTCCATAGATGTGAGGACGAAAGTGCTAACGTAGCATCTTACCTAATTAGATATAAACAATTCAAAAAAATAATTGACAATTTGTAGAATATGAAAACCCCATTTGTTAATAAAGAATGACGGGTGTGTGAAAACCAATTGTCTGATGCCATTTGACACATGTCGTTTGAAGCATCTCCAACCCAATTCTAAGTCGTCCGAGTTATCATGATCGAATCGAACAAGTCCAATTTTACAAGATCACTACATAACTTAAATATTTATGTGACCCTACAATTAATCTACTTCGGAGTCATTCAAATAAATGATCGATACTAATATCTTAAATCAAGATTCTAGCACGATGATTTAAACAATTCATGAAAAAATTGACAATTTGCAGAATATGATATCTCGTTTATGAATATGGAATTGATAACCCTAAGAAATAATTCAAGTAATAATAAAGACAAACTTTAAACTCATTTATCTAGAATTTGAATTTTGACAACTCTTTAGTCCAGATTATGAAGAGTTTATCCTTCATAAATACTTTAGTTCAGACATAAAAGACTAGTTATACACTTAAATAGAGAAAGGATTAATTGAAATGTAGATAAACTGATTCGAACGCCTTAATTGATCATTAAACTTAGAAAGAAAAAATTGAACAGAATTGATGGGTCCTTCTTGCTACATCTAGAGTTCTAGGTGGGGGAGCTATCAAGTCCCAAAACGACAGTATCGAGACTATTGGAAGTGAAGTAACAGAGATGTTAAAATCTTTGTGTAGTCAGTCAAAGGCCGGCCATGGCGGCAATGAAGTCCATAGCCTTCTTGTTTCAACCCGCCTCAGTGGGCTACAGTTTGCATTGGCATTTTAAAACAATGAAAATACAATACTAGCCCTCCTTTTTTTTTTTAATGCTTAACTATTCTTACACTCTCTAAGTCTCTATGCCAATTGTAGTTGTTTAAGTGATCTTCATGTTTTCATACATTTGAGTAGCTGGAGTTTGATTTGTACTTGATTGGCTTTCATTTCGGTTCAAATTGCGAAATAAATCGAATTATGGTGCTATTAAACGATTAAGTAAGTCGAATTTGATTTATTTTAACCTCGTTTAACTTACTAAAATAGACTGAGTTTGATTAGATTTTTAAGTTTATTCTGTAAATAAACATAATCCAAAAAAGTATGACTGAGTTCAAGTAAACTCAACTCAACTTAACATGGTTCTTATCTGTAAATCATTCTCATTTTATCGTCAAACAACCTCTATGTCAAACATAACAATACTAAACTTAGTTTTAAATGGTTTTAGACAATATACACTTCTTACTCTTTCTTCTTTATCAATTTTTTTTTTAGAAATTTAAATGTTTAATGTTTAATTTTAAGGTTGATTTTAACAATTTTGTAGGGTTTTTTGCATAAAAAATAATTTTTCAAAATTGATTGCAATATATCGGGGTTAATCTTCAAACTTTTTTTCTAAAAAAATTGAGCTCGGTTTTAACTATAATGGATCAAAAACAATTGTTGATCCAAGTTTGAACAAGAACCCAAGTTTGTTTCGATAATTAGTTCTTCTGTTTGGATCGAGTCAACTCAAATTCAATTCAAATTTGACGTAGTTTTAAGTTCATAAATGGATATTTTCAAGCTTAGATGAAAAATAAAAACCACTACTCAAATTAGATTTTTGTGTTTTCCAAATCCAACTCCATTACTCATCGAACTTAATTAATTGGGTTTAATGTGATTACCAATTTTCTATATACTACTATACATGCGACATATATAAGAGAGAATTAATATATAATCATTGAATTTATATCTTATTGATGAACTAGTTATTCTCTGTGCCTGAAGGCACGATGTAATAAAAAAATGGTCAATAATAAATATATTTATATTCACACTCAAAATTAAATCACAACTATAGAGGAGAGAAAAAAGAATTTAAGCATCGATTACAGTGAAGGTGAGCGATAGTAGTGATGGTGGACAGTAGTGGTGATGGTAAGAGACAATAATTGTTGTGGTGGATGACGAGGACTGTGGTGGTGGTGGATGATGGTGATAGTGGCAATCGTGGGTGATAATGGTGGTGGTGGTTGTGGTGGACAACGGTGACGGTAATTGATAGTGGTGGAGGTGGGGCGACGACTGTGGTGGTGGGTAACGATGGGTGCTTTTAGACAATAATGTGATGGATGGTGGCGAACGAAGACAGTGATGGTGGTAGATGTGGTGGGGTGGATGACAATGGCTGGTGACAATGGTGGGCGACAACGGGTGGTGGTGAGTTGTGGTATGGGTGACGGTGGGTAACAATGGTGGTGGTGGGTGCTGATAGTGGCAGTGAGATGATGGTGGTAATGATAAAAAATATAAAAATAAGAGGACGATGGTAGTGGTAGTGGGTAGTGACGGTGGATGACGATGGTAACAATTGGTGGTGAGTGGTGATAGTGGGATGGGGTGGGGTAGTAGCAGTGACAGTGGTGGGGGTAATGACAACGACAGTGGTGGTGACGACCGACAGTGATGATGACAGTGGTGGGGTGGTAGTGGTGGCTGTTGTTGTGATGGTCTTTGGGGTGGGGGTGGGCGGGGACGGTGGGGGTGAGGGTGATGATGGGACAGTGACGATGGAGGGTTGGTGGTAAAGGTGGTGATGAGATAATGACAGTGAGGATAGGGTATAACAATGGTGGTGGGGGGGGGGGCGATGAAGGTGGTGGCAGCGATGATCATGATTATGGTTGGGCAATGGGTGTGGTAGGGTGGCAATAGTGGTGACGGTGGTGGTGGGAGTAGTTGTGGTTGTGGTGGTTGTAGTGGTCTTGATGGTGGGGCGGTACGGGGTGGTGGTGGGACAATTTTAAACACTATTTTTTTTTAAAGTATTTATGAGAAATAAATCTTAGAAGTACTTTTAAAAAACTCCAAACGCACGTTTGAGATGTTATTTTTTTTTATTAAATTTGAGATGTTAATATTAGTTATCAAATTAACTTTAAAATAAAATTTAAAAAGATTTCAACCGCGAATAATAAAAATTATTTTATTTATCTTTTAAGATTTAAATTGTATTATATTTTATTGTATAGATAAAAAATTTGAAGTTGGAGTAAAATTGGAGTGGAGTTCGTGTTGTATAACCCATGTTTAGCTTGTAATATCATGTTCAATTTTGAAAGTTGATCAATTCCTATTCAATTTAAATTCGTATTCGAATCAGGATCAAAATTCGATTAGTCGATTATGGATTAATTTTTTTTATATATAATTCAAATCCGATATATTATATTTCATAGGTTCGTATTTAGATATACCTATATCTGATCTAATTATGATCTGATCCAAATTATTTAAATATTTTTATATAAATATTAAAAAAATTAGGTAATAATTTTAATAAATTAGTTAGAATTTAGATATAATTTATTAAAATTTAATTAATTAAGTTATTTGGATCGAATCAAATTTTAGATTGTTAACAAATTCGGAATACAAATCACAAAAATAAAATCTATTAGATTATTGAACGTACTTTTAAAATAGGTGTCAGATTCGGATCAATTAAAATTCTATCCGTCGACAAGCCTTAGTTGTACTTATGAGAGGATGGATAAAATTTGAAATTGACAATATTCAAATTCAAATTCACTTTTTTTGACAATATTCAAGTCCACTTGAAGACAATCAACTGAGGGTTATATTAGTCATTTCAGAAGGCCGTCCTATACTTTTCGCGCCAGCACAAAAAACAGGTTTTCTCGTTATTATCAGTCACAACAAATAATCAAAGCGACACACGCAAACGCCTCTCAGACTTCCCATTCCCCACATCGTCCACCACCACCACTACCATGTCCACCACCACTACTTCAGCCGAAATCCTCGAACAGACCACAGCCTTCATCTCCGAAACACTGTCACAGTCCGACCTCCGCCACCGCCTTTTCTCCACCTTCCGTCACAAAACAACCCTTTCTTCCGACCAAATCAACTTGAAACCACTAAACCTCGCCGCTGAAACTCTAGAAAATTCTCTCATCACAACCAACCCCTCCGTTCGATCTTCCTCTCTCCGCCTCGCCGAAAAGCTTCTCCTCTCTTACCCTGAAAACCCATTTTCTTCCTTTCTTCTATCACTCATTTACTCTCTCTGCCACCGCCCCAGTGATGCCGCTCTTAGTCTGCTTGATGTGTTTTACATAGACCCTTCTTTAGCAAGACTCGAAATTGCACCTGTTGTGTTCGAAGAATTGTTTCTGATTCATTTTCTACCTGTTCTTGAATGGTTCAATGAACAGAGATCCAAAATTTTGTCATCGATGTCGCAGATATCACAGAAGTCTGGTTATGAGAGTGAAGACCAGTCGGTGGATGTTTTGTGCACAAGGAGGTTGTCACATATGAGTGGTGATCAAACTTCTGAATTGAAGCAGCTGGAAAGAAAATATGAAGAGGTTCTTGATGAGAATTGCAGGGCTTTTGCTGGATATTTCAAAGAGGTTTTGGGGAGTAAAGATGAGAATCGATTGATTGATCCGCCATCAGTGGTATTGAAAAGTGTCAAAGAAGGTGACATGTTTGATCATGATGAAGATCAGATGATCACAGAGGAAGAATCTGAATTGAGAAATGGACGGTATAATGTAATATTTCATATTCTAGAATTGTTCCTGTACATAATTTTTACTATTGGTATTTTCTCAAATCCTCTTGAGATTATACAGCTTCAATTTGTGTGCTTATCAAAAAAAATGGAGACTCCTCATTTTTTCCCTATCTCACATTGCCCCCTCAATTATCATATTTGTCACGTTACACCTCTAACTATAGTTATTGGTTTACATTGCCCCAATCTTAGACATTAAAAACGCACATTTTACTACATATGCGGATATTTTTTGTCCAAATCATGATGCATTTTTAATTTTTGGGCAATGCAGAACCAATTTGAGTAATTAAGGAAGCAATGCCAGAAATTCAATAGTTGAGTGGGCAAAGTAAGACCAGGGTTTTAGTTGAGGGGGGTAAAAGTCTTCCCTACTGAAATTCATAGTTTTTGGCAACTTTGAATTTTTAATTAGTTTATCTTTCTTCAATTCTTGATATCATCACCACTACCAGTACCACTACCACTAGCACCATCATCATCATCATAATAATCATCATTGTTACTCATATATAGTCATTAAGGCTTTCGAATTGCAAAATCATGGAATTGTCTGAAACAATATAGCAGGTATAGAATCTTTTTAGCGTTGCGTTATGATTATTGTGGAGTTCTTTCTAAAACATTTTGGGTTTGAATCGGTCTTCATTGTCTATATTAGATGAGAATCTTCATCATATTTTAATATGGCATCAAGTATAAATTGTATTTCCTTCCAAATGGTTTAGTCCAAATTGTTTGTTTTTGTGCTGCTTGCTGGAAGGTTCATTTTTTACTCTGTCAACTGTCAAGCAAGAAAGATGATAAGGCCATTAGCATGATTTTTTGTATAGAGAACGAATTTTTTACAGGTTGCACATTGCATATTTTTGGATTATTCAATCAAAGTCACCTTCTGGATCAAATTTAAAAACTAACTGAGATGAGGAAAGATGGGGTTGATCGTGTTGGGGTCCTCAGCCTAGGGCTGAGGCGGGATAGGGCAGGCAAGGTCTAATCTTCGGACCTATGCCAAATATTGGATCCTTGAAGTTGCTTGGCTTCTGGATCAAATTTCAAAACTAACTGAGATGAGGAAAGATGGGGTTGATCGTGTTGGGGTCCTCAGCCTAGGGCTGGGGTGGGATAGGGCAGGCAACGTCTAATCTTCGGACCTATGCCAAAATATTGGATCCTTGCAGTCGCTTGGCTTCTTGTGCATTCTTACCGATGCTAATAAGAGGCCAACCTGGTGAACAATTTGGATTATACAATCAAGCACTTTAATTGTGACCTAGCCAAAAAAAAAACATGTTTTGAAATACTTTGAACGTTAACTTACTGATTTTATGATTCATAAGTGCAATACCTTTGAGTTCTTCAGAATAAACAAAGATTAGGACATCCTTTGACATAAAAAACAAAAGTGGAGTGCTTCCAAAGTTCTTCTATTTGTTTTAGCCTTATTTTTTTGGTATTATATTATGTTGTTGGATTCAGTGAATCATTCAAATGTTTTCTTAATTTGGTAGTTGGCCTTTTCTCCTTTTGCACAATGCTTAGCAGATCAACAACTTCTTTTTGTTTATTTACTCGGAGAAAAAAAATTTATCTTTGAGTTCTTCAGAGTAAGAAAATTTAGGACATCCTATGACATAAAAACAGAAGTGGTGGAATGCTTCCAAGTTCTCCTATTTGTTTAGACTTGTCTTTTTTGGTGATTATATTGTGCTGTTGGATTCGTTGAATCATTCAAATTGTTTTCTTAATTTTGTATTTTGCTTTTCTCTCTCTCCTTTTGAATAATTTGCTCAACATATATGTCAATATTGCAATGACAGGCACATTACCAACTTTGTTTTTTTATTTATCTATTTAGAACAATGGCACTTGGACTCAACCAGAAGTTTCTGAAAATTCAGTTTGACAATTTCAACACAACTCATATGTTATATGACAAATTACACTCCAATTTCCCGCAGCCAATATGGGTTGATGGAGAAAAATCAGTTCAATTCAACAGCAACGGGGGCAAAAGCCTATTCAAGTTTCCATCTTTTTTTCCTGAAAGGGTCTCCCTGAAAGTCCTTACAAATCAAGCATCTTCAAGGAAATCGAAAGCATCGCCCGAAAACAACTCTGATGCTGAACTAGAGTCTACTTCAGAGGACAACTTGAGTAATTATGCTTCCTCGGATTCTGAAGCTGAAATAGAGGTAATAGATGTGAACAAGAATCCCAAATTCTTCATTGACTGATATATCTAAGAAATTTATTCTAGTTGTAAAGGTTGTTGGTCTGTCATTTAGGAAAAGGACGAAGAAATGGCATTGATCAGCTCTCAACCGATCCAATCCCGAAAGCAAAAGCAGCCCATTTCTGCGGAGACAAGCCAGTATGTGATATAAAATCACTCATCATCTTGACATTCCCTTTTACACTTTCTTATACTTCGACTTTTCCTGTCATATCAGTTCTTCAGATCCTCTCATGGCAGACACTGATAATCCTCCTAGTGGCGGAAAAAATACACCTCCCAAGGACTTCGTGTGTCCCATAACAAGTAATATATTTGATGATCCAGTGACTCTCGAAACAGGTCAGACTTACGAGCGTAAAGCAATCCAAGAATGGCTTGATAGGGGAAACTCCACATGCCCCATTACACGCCAAAAGCTGCATAGTGCTAAACTACCTAAAACAAATTACGTACTTAAACGTCTGATTGCAAGTTGGCAAGAACAGAACCCAAGCGTAGTTTCAATCCAAGCTGAAAAATCACACCCAGAAAGTGAACCAGTCTTCAACCCAGTGATGCATTCGACTTCCCCGAACAGTGTTATAAGCCAAGCCACCATTGACGGCACAATTAGCGAACTGCGACTTGCAATTACCAACCTTTGTACGTCAGAAATTTTGGAGGAGTCTGAAATGGCAGTTCTTCGAATTGAGCTGTTCTGGCAGGAAGCCAATATGGAAGTGGAGATTCAAAACATGCTCTCAAAACCTCCAGTTATCAATGGTTTTGTAGAGATCCTTTTCAACTCAGTTGATACCAGAGTCTTGAGGGCAACAGTGTGTCTTCTGGCTGACCTTGGTTCAAGAGACAGTGGTGTCATCCAGACGCTAACCAGGGTTGAGTCTGATGTGGAATGTGTTGTTGCTCTTTTCAAGAAAGGTTTGGTGGAGGCTGTTGTATTGATTAACCTGTTAAGGCCTTCCACCATGAGCCTTGTCGAAATGGACATGGTGGATTCCCTCTTGACAGTTTTTAGAAAGAGAGAAGACGACTTCCTTAAAATGTGTATGAAGCCAAAATCAGCTGCCATTCTTTTATTGGGACAGATTCTTGCAAATTCCGAGGAAACTAGTATATCAGAAATTGCTAGGAGAGTTATTTCAGGGAAGGTAATAGAATGTATTGTGGGTAGCTTGGAAGCTGAGTGGGCAGAGGAAAGGATTGTGGCTGTTGGTATTTTATTGAGATGCATGCAGAAGGATGGCAAGTGTAGGAACATCATTGCTGATAAGGCTGAATTGGCTCCTGTTTTGGAGAGCTTCATGGGAGCGAATGATGGAGAGCGGTTCGAGATAGTTCAGTTTCTCTCCGAACTAGTTAAACTGAACAGGTACTTTTCCCTCAACGTTTTAAGTATATGCCATTGTAGATCTATATCACTTCCATTAACCGAGATGACTGGTTTCCTTTTTTTGTTTTTCTCCAGAAGGACATTTAATGAGCAGGTCTTGCACATTATAAAAGATGAAGGTACTTTTAGTACAATGCACAGCCTCTTGGTATATCTAGAGACAGCTCTCCAGGATCAATGTCCTATTGTGGCTGGTCTCCTCCTCCAACTTGACCTTCTGGTATGAATCTCTCTCTCTCTCTCTCTCTCTCACACACACACACATACACACACACAGAAATCATTTGTAATCCTACTTTGACTACCACTGTCTTAATTTGTAGGCGGAGCCAAGAAAGATGAGCATATATCGAGAAGAGGCAATTGATAGTCTTATTTCATGTCTTAGAAATTCAGACTCACCAGCAGCTCAAATAGCAGCTGCCGAGACTATTTTGGCCCTCCAAGGGAGATTTACTTATTCTGGAAAGCCCCTTGCTCGCACTTTTCTTCTTAAACGTGCAGGACTTGGCAAACATTATAAATCTCTGATGCGAAAGGAGCAACTCAGCAATGCATCTGGTGAAATTCAAGGAACATTGGTTAGCTTCAGCTTAATAAATTTTTGGAGTTTTTACTATTGATAATATTTAAAATATGTATTGGTAGATAGGGTTTGGTTTACTTTGCCTATTGTTAGGTTCTTGCACTTAATTTTGCTATATCATTATTACTTCAGTATTATTCACTGATGTCCTTTTCTTTACATCTTTAATTTGTGATCCAATAGGAAGAAGAGAAAGCAGCTGAAGAGTGGGAGACAAAAGTGGCATTTGCCTTAGTTAGTCATGAATTTGGTCTGTTGTTTGAAGCTTTAGCAGAAGGGTTAAAGAGTAGATATGCAGAATTATGTTCAGCATGCTTTTTGTCAGCCACATGGCTTGTACAAATGCTCACTATTCTTCCCGACACGGGGATACAAGGAGCGGCTCGAGTCTGCTTGCTCAAGCACTTTGTATCAATATTTAAGTCTTCGAAGGACACTGAAGACAGAGTCCTTTCCATGCTTGCTCTGAGCAGCTTCATCCGTGACCCAGGTGGTTAGCAATCGATGAATAAGGATACATTTGGTTATAATTTAGAGTGAGATACAAATCAGGGTCCGTATAATCATACTAACTGCATTGTTTTAACCTTTATTATATTCTTGTTGCATCAAAGGGATTATTTTGACAACACTTCGTATCCAAAATATACCCTTTGTTGCTTTTATCATAGCATTTGAAGAAAAATGATATCCATAAGAGCAAATTCTTATGCAAAGAAAACAGTCATTCCAGAGTAAAACTTATCAGCCCAAGGAAATGATAGTAAAAATTGGGTCTGACATCATTGAGCGAAGAGCCATCAATAGCATGTAACATACTAATTTCGGAAAACAAAAATACTATCACAATTGGATTGGATCAAGTCATTTCTTTGTGGTGTTTTTAAGACATCTAAGGCAAACCGGCATTCTAGGTAATCATTTTGTGCATTGACAGCTTATAGGGGCCCTGTTCACGGCTCTATATATCTACCCTGCATTTTGCCTGTATTTTGGAGTCAATTTCGTGAGTAAAAACCATGGTTCTCACACTTAACATTGTAAAATCCAGAAGGGATGCGTGACCTAACTCCCCACATGAAGGATATCTTTAAAGGTCTGAGAGAGCTTAAGAAATCATCTACCTTGGCATTTGAGATGCTGAAACTTTTCTCTGAAGGGCATGACTCCAGCGCCGTAAGTTTCTTGTACTTTAATGCATGTTATTCCAGAAAGAGGAAAGGAATTAACACATTACCTCACCTTCTTTGGAATCAGGACCTTTGGAATCATAAAGAATTGGTCCAAGAAGATAGTTCTTTAAATGGAGAAGTGTTATCCATAGTTTGCTTCAAAAACAAAATTTTTTCTGGCCATTCAGATGGAACCATAAAGGTAATTATGCCAACCTGCATCATTTCTCATTAACCTTCTTTCCACAGTTACAATATTTTTCTCATTACCCTGCTTTCCATGGTTTCTCTATATTTTGTTTTGTGTCAGTAAATTTTCAATTAAGACTTTTGTAGCATACTTTGATTTGTTCCTTTAATCCAGGACATGGAGATTAACTATTTGTATCCTGTTGGTTAGAAAACTCATATTAGCGTATTTCTATTTATTGTAAGTGAGAAAATGGCATAGCTTGTACACATAAAGTGATATGTGTTTTTATGCAAGCCCAAAATAGCAAACCTTGGATCCACAATGCACATGCATTGAATCTCATGACTAACTTCATCTAATTCACTGGTCTTTAATTTCAGTTGTGTTCTGGCTCAGCACCTGTGTTATTCTGACCAGTCAATTGCATATGTAAATGCCCAAATAAGTGGGTGGGTAAGAAGCACTTATACATGCTCATGTGCCGTGCGTTTCCAATTCAATCATAAATTGCTCTCTATGAAAATCTGTTCATTTCCTCAAGCCAAAAAATCCAGTTCTCTAGGGAGACATGTTCATCCCTTTGCAATTTACCAGAGAAAATACATAAATTGAAACAACTTACAATCTCCTTGACACTGTTGCATCTTAGTCTTGCAAGCTGAACAAGTATTTTGCCAATGTAAATATGGCATCAAGCGTTCAAGTCACATAAACAGCCTCTCTGTATGTCATGTACATCTGACCTTCGTCAGACCCCATAATGGCTGGAGACTCATGCACTGAGCCGACCTTTTTTGTATCCATCTTAAGTGTAAAAGTATGAAATATGGTATTCAGATCATGAACATGTCAGAAAGAATAGACTGAGGTTAATGCCTATTAGATATAACTAGTGTAGTGTCACAATAGTTATCTTATGGCACTGATTTTTTACTTTTTTCTTTTTCTTTGGTGCCAACACTGAATTTGAGCCTGATGGTATTTGTTTGCATGAATTTTGAAGGTCTGGACTGGTAAAGGTAGCAGTCTGCATCTCATCCAAGAAACTCGAGAACATACCAAGGCAGTCACTAGCCTGGCAATTCTACAGTCAGGGGACAAAGTGTACAGTGGTTCACTCGATAGGACAGTGAGGGTATGCTATATTCTTTCTTAAAACACATATAAGTATAATTTCTAAGCTGAAAGTTTTGTATATATTCCAATTAGGTGTGGTCAATTGGCAACGAAGTCATGTGTTGTGAACAAGTTCATGACATGAAGGATCAGGTTAACTATCTTGTAGTTGCAAACAGCATTTCATGCTTCATTCCTCAGGGGGCTGGCATTAAGGTACAAAAAAATGTTATCCATCCAATTTGCTATCAAATTCTATGGATTCTCTATGTTTGAGCGCTTTTTATATGCATCAAGAATTATTTGACTAGAAGACATTTGTTTTTGGATGAATTCTATGGATTCTCAATTGTTCCTCTTTTACCCTTCTAAGTTGAATGAATTTGCTGAACCTGATCTTATCTGGTTATGAGTTTTTGGTTGAAGATTTAGCATCTTTCATTGGCCCATTTTGATGGAACAATTTATTGTGCATTCAGAAAGAAGTTACAGAGGTACGAACTCAAGTGTAGCTTCCTGTTCTTGTATCAGGTGAATTCTTGGAATGGTGCATCCAAATTGCTGAATCAAAACAAATATGCAAAGTGCTTGACTATTGTGAATGGGAAACTATACTGTGGATGCCATGATAGTAGTATTCAGGTCCCAATATCTCATTGGCATGTTCAATTTTTTAACATGTTTCTTTTCTTTTTCTTTATTCACATAATTATAACTTGATTACCTTACAGGAAATTGATTTGGCCACAGGAACACTAAGTAATATTCAAACTGGCTCAAGAAAATTCTTAGTTAAAGCAAATCCTGTTTATGCACTGCAAGTTCATGATGGACTGATATATTCAGCCAGCTCTCCCTTGGATGGAGCTGCCGTGAAGGTACCTGCTTATGCGAAAAGATTTGATTCTGAATTTTGTTTAATAATGTTCCACTTTTTAACCTTTTAATGATTAAGTTCATTCATTCTACCTAAATTATACTTGTCTTCATGTTAAATAAAAGATATGGAGTGCATCAAATTTCAGAATGGTTGGATCGCTGCCATCAGCAATGGATGTACGGGCTATGGCCATAAGCTCAGACCTCATTTATTTGGGGTGCAAAGGGGGGATTGTGGAGGTATGGTGTAGAAAGAAGCACATTAGAGTAGAAACACTACAAACTAGTACCATCAGTAAAGTTATTTGCATGTCTCTCGATAGCGATGAAAATGCTTTGGTGATCGGAACCTCTGATGGACGAATTCAGGTAAAGAATCTCTTTTTTCTCAAATTCAGATATAATCTAATCATATTGGAATGTTCAAAATTTCAGACTGCCTGTTTGGCTACCTATCATTTTCGTATAATGATAACAACAACATGAGGATTGAGGAACATCTTTTGTTGGTTTGCAGGCATGGCAACTGAGCTGAAGGAGGATGTTGTAAATTCATGGAGTTTGGGATAACTAGAAACCATTGATCAACATTCTTTTCTTGGAATAAGCTTTCTCCATTTGAGGGCCCCTGTTAAGAATTGTATATGGTGCAGATTAAAGTATAATAATTTTGTTGTTTCAGTCATAGCCAATTAACTTTTATCACAACCATTTGTATGTGTACGGAAAATGACATTTACATGGAGATCATATATATACGGCGAAGAGTTTATCTTATTCACTTATTTATGAATATTTCTCTGTTGGGATTTCTCACGATTTGAATCCACTAACAAACACACACAATCGAAGAACAAATCAAGAATATAAAGCAATAAGAAACAAGAAAGAACAAGACACAGATTTTACGTGGTTCGGCAATTTGCCTACGTCCACGAAGCTGCAGGGATTTCACTATTGAAAGAGTTGAATACAGAGAGCGGCTGTACCATACACAATTTTACCCTAATCACCAAAACAACAGGGTTTATATGTCCTACGCACTGGGCTGTATAACGGGCCCAAAAAAATTTTCCTCGGGGGCGTTGCCCCCGAACCCCCACAAGGCTTGTCCATGAGCGCTACGGCTTGGGCCTATCGGCCCAAGCCTTCGCTCCATGGACTAAGCCTCAGAAAATTTTCCATTAAAAACCACACAACATTATTTCGGGTCGGGTCATCATCCGGATCACATATACAAACTAGACTCCATAAAAAATAAACCAACATTCTCAATTATTTCCTTATGTATGACAGTGTATATGAGTACATGTTCGGGTGATTCAAATTATAGTTTGGAGAGAAATTCGATAACTAGGTATTTCTGATCACTCGCGTGCAGTTTTGAGAATAAACAAGGAGGAAAATAATCAGAAGAAGCCTTTTAGGTTTATTTTACACAAAAAGAGCAGCAAGGTGTTAGAGTATTAATAATAAGGGTAGTTTAGGTATTTTTTTTATGTTGTGTTGCCCTAGTATATAAGGGTTACTTTGTGTATTTTTAGGTTTAAGATGTTCATTAGAGACTTGCTTTTTAGTCTAATAATATAGTCATTCTTTCTCTTCTTTATTATGTATTCTCATTGATTAATTATATCATGGTATCGGAGCAATTATATTTCAAAACCTAAGACTATGAAAAAGATGAAAGAATTTCTTCTTTTCTGTTTTCTGGGTTGTCAAAGAATGACGTCAGCATTGCCGGTGATGATGTCATGGTGATGTCATCCTTTTCCGATCATGAAGACCACTGTCAAACTTGAAATTGCATGGGCTTTCTGCTGGTATGGTTTGTTTTTGATTTTGAGCACATCTCGTAAGTGTTTTAATTTGTTGAAACAAAGATTTTTGCTGCAATTTTTGGTTCAAATCTTCTCTAAAGAGGTACGACTAAGCTTCCTGGGTCATCTCTTGAGAGACTTGAAGCTTTTGAGTAACTTTTTAGCTTGATTTTGCCCATCCGAGGGTTTCGGTATACCTAGTTCTTGACGTCGGTGCACTGGGCAGTCTGTTGTGGCTTCGGCAGCAGTGTTTCTGCTTTGTTGTTCTTTGTTGTTGGGCAGTCTGGTTGTGCTTTGTTGTTGTCGACGCCAGTGTAGTGTACTTCGATAGTTTGGTTGTGGCTTTCACAGTCTGATTGTGGCTTCTGCAACAATGTTTCTTCTTTGTTGTTGATTGGTATTTGGAGTTATTGTTTGGTGGCTGCTGGGTTTTGACTATGGATTGTTCTTTTGGTGCTATTGTGTGGGTTTTGACTGTTTTGATTTTGATACAATAGCAAGTGGAAATTCTGATTCACTTCAAGCCATTAGTGTGAGATTAATAAGTGAAAATTATATTTATTGGGCTTATGTTATGAAAAAAAATTTAATGGAAAAAGATATGTGGAATTATATTAGTGGTGTTACATAGGCTCCAACTGATACTAAGACTGAAAATTATATTGATTTGAAGAGTACTTGGGATATTAACAATGCAAAAATTATCACTTGGAATAATAACTCAGTTGATCAGACCATTGGGGGTTCATCTATCCAAGTATAGCACAACTAAGAAAATATGGGATTATTTTGGTCACACTTTTTGTCCAGTCTAATTTTGCAAAGAGGTATCAGCTAGAGCATGAGATTCGAGATGCGCGTCAAGGGGACAAAATTATACAAGAATTCTATTCAGTTATAACTGGCTTCTGGGATCAGCTAGTACTTACTGAACTCACTGAGTTGAGCACTAATTTGACATATTGCACCTTCAGAGAGGAACAGAGGCTGGTGCAATTCTTGATGGCCCTTAGAGATGACTTTGAGGGACTTCGTGGTTCCATTATTCATTGTCACCTACTCCCCTCAGTGGATGCAGTTGTTAATGAGCTCTTAGTTGAAGAGGTTCACCTTAAAACCCTTTTTGGAAAGGGTCTTCTTCCACTGCCAAATCAGACTGTGTTGGTTGTTCCTTCCAAGTGACATCTAATTCTCAAAACAAATATCGAGGCCGAGTTGCTTATGATAAGTGTAGCTTCTGTTGTGAAAAGGGTCACTGGAAGGTCTAATGTCCAAAGTTGATAAACAAGAATGCACGAGGGTCTCAAAATCATTCATTTAAGTCCGGAGATCGTCATACAGCAATTGTAGCACCGCCAGTGGATGTGTCAGCCTTATTAGCTCCCAGCCTGACTATGCTTGCTGACCAACTACAACAATTTCTCTCTTTTCATTAGTCTAGTGCTCTCACAGTTTTTCCCACTATAGGTTCGTTCAGCTCATCGATTTGTTTCAGGTATATCTCGAACTGCCTGAGTCTTTGACTTAGGTGCCACTCATCATATGACCAGTGACTCTTCTTTATTTGTATCTATAGTTTCTCCTCCATGTTTGTCTGTACTTGCTGCCAATGGTTCTCAAATGTCATTAGCTAGTGTTGGGACAACTATTTCTTCCAACCTTACATGGTTCTCAAATGTCATTAGCTAGTGTTGGGACAACTATTTCTTCCAACCTTACACTTTCAGATGTCTATTATATTCCTCAACTTACTTTAAATTTACTTTTAGTCAGTCAACTATTTGACTCTGGATTTTTGGTTCATTTCTCTTTCACTGGTTGTGTTGTACAGGATCCACGGTCCAAGAAGCTGATTGGGACAAGCCATAGAAAGGGTGGGTTATACGTGTTGGAGGAGCTTCATATCCTAGATACTGTTGCTGCTGCTTCTACTGTTGGTTTATCTTCTTTTCTTTTGAGTCTAGAGTCATCTAGTTTTTATTTATGGCATTCTCGTCTTGGTCATGTTTCTTATTCTCATTTAAAATTTTTAGCTTCAATTGGTAGTTTGGGTAGTTTAGGCAGTCATGACATTTCTGATTGTAGTGGATGCAAGTTGGCTAATTTAGTGCATTGCCGTTCAAAAAAAGTGTTACTTGTTCTCTTGCACCATTTGATCTTGTTCACTCTAATGTATGAGGACTGACTCCTATTCCTACACAAGGAGGGTCAAAATATTATGTTTCATTTATTGATGATTACACGAGATATTGTTGGGTCTTCTTGATGAAACGTCGGTCTGAATTCTTTTCCATTTTTACTACTTTTTATAACATGGTACGCGCTCAATATTCTACAATCATTAAATGTTTTCGATGTGATCAGGGAGGTGAATATACTCTTACTTCTTTTCATGATTTGTTGAAATATGATGGTACACTTTATCAATCCTCTTCCACTGACACACCTGAGCAGAATGGTGTTGCCAAACGAAAACACCGTTATATTTAGAGACAACACGTTCCCTTCTATTATCATCACGTATTCCCAGCTCATTTTGGGGGGAAACAATTTTGACAATAGTTCACTTGATCAACGCCATTCCTACCATTCTCACCTCTGGAGTCTCTCCATTTGAAAAGTTATATGGTAAGCCGCCTAACTATTTTTTTTACGTGTGTTTGGTTGTACCTGCTTTGTTTTGCTCCCTAGTGTTCTTCGTACCAAACTTTCTGCCCATTCAGCTTTATGTGTATTTTTAGGATATGGTGAGGGTCAAAAAGGGAATCGTTGCTATGATCCCATCACCCATAAACTTTATGTCTCTCGTTATGTTGTTTTTATGGATCATATTCCATTCTTTTCAATTCCATCCAGTTCTTCCTTATTGAATAAGTCTGGCTTACTATACATTGATCCCTTTCCTACTAATGTTCCTCATGACACATATATTGGTGATTTACCTGTGACAGATCCTTCCTCTTTTGAGTCGACTATCTCTCGTCCCCCTATTGTGCATACATATATTTGTAGGACTCCAGTTATCTCCTCTCCGAATACATGGTCTCCCTCTTCTCCTCCGGCCGTCCAATCAGGTTTAGACATTGTGGATCATACCTCATGCTATCCTCAGTGCTCTCGCAAATGTCCAGACAGATTTGGTTGGAGTAATACTTTTTATTTTTTTGAATTTTGTTCTTTCCTTACTTCTATTCATTCTCTATCTGAATCCACCTCCTACAGGAGGCTTTACTTGATCCACTTTGAAAACAGGCTATGGATGAGGAGCTGTCTGCCTTACATAAGACCAGAGCTTGGGAGCTTGTGCCTTTACCGCCTGGTAAATGTCCAATTGGTTGTAAGTGGGTTTATAAGATAAAAATCAAGTCGGATGGTTATGTGGAATGATATAAAGCTCGATTAGTAGCCAAGGGGTTTGCTCAGGAATATGGTTTAGACTATGATGAGACTTTTGCTCCTGTTGACAAGATGACTGCTGTTCGCACCGTGATTACAGTTGCTGCCATTTGACAATGGCGTTTGTCTCAAATGGATGTGAAAAATGCATTTCTACATGGAGATTTAACTGAAAAGGTTTTTATGACGCCTCCCCCTAGATTATCTTATAGTTCTGGTCAAGTATGTCGCCTTCATCGTGCCTTATATGGTCTTAAACAGGCTCCTAGGGCATGGTTTGCTAAATTTTCTTTGATTATCTGTGACTTGAGTTTTCACG